AAGACGCAACAAATTGACCTGGTGGTGTATTTGACCTCGAAAGCTACCGCATAGCAAAAATGAACAAAATGATTTATAAACAGACTATAACTACAAACTAAACAAATTCTACTCAAATTAATTCTACAGTTTTGCTTTCTCTGGCGATCCTATGCATAAAACTGAAATTTAAACAGGTCGGCATTTTACCGGTAAACCGGAAAATCAATGCATAAATTAACTTGTCAGAAGTGTGAATTGTCTCCTGTAAGTACGGTAACGGCCTTGCCGGTACGGCTAATGACCTTCGGGTACGGTAAAGAACCGACCGGTACGGTAAAGCAGCGGCCGGTACGGTAAAGAAACTCATGCCGCAGGAGACTCACAGGAAACCGGCTTGGTGGTAATGATCAGTTCCCTAACTCTTTATAAATAATCAGTAACATAGGTGCGTAGAAACTGCATTAAAACTACTAAAAGTTACGACGAATGATTTTTTTTTTTTTTCTATTTTTTATTTAAAAACTTAATTAAAAAAACTGTAAACCACTGAATTTTTGTCATTTGACAAGTACTGTAAAATCTGTATTAGTAATGGCATCCCATTCCCTAATAGAAGTCAGTCCCATTTTTTTCTTACAATTGAGAATGAAAAAAACACAATTTCTCATTTGTGTAGATGTTCTAATAGAAACCGCATCCCCTCTGTTGTATTGTATCATTTCAATAGAAACTGCGGCTTTTAATACAGATTTTACAGTAGGTAGCATTCACATGAAAAGATACAATTGTATACAAGCTGCTAACACCCGATGAATTAGAAATCCTGGGTCCTGAGAAATTTTCACTTCTAAAACATTAAATGAATTTCATTGACGCAAAATTAGTGAAAATTTCCCTTGTGATATTAAAGTGGCTTATAGTACATCTCTCAGAAAGTACCACGGTGAGTGACCTTTCTCAGGTCATGTATACAAGGCCTTGTGGAAATGATACGTTTCAGATATTAATGCAATAGAATAGAAGAGAATTCTTTATTAATATTGTAAAGATAATGTGACATTTCTTTTTTGGTTAACAAGTTAATAAAGTTTTACATAGTTGAGCGATCATAAAACTATCCGTGAATGAGACAATTTACAATATGTAAGAATATTGCATATGTAGTTTGTTTGTTCCGGAAATGTATTCCTTATGTTGTAACACTGTTCAATGTAATGTAAAACATGTTTTTTATAGCTAATCCGCAATTTTGCTAAATTAAATTGAAATTCAGTTAATTT